TCAGGATGCCTGCCCCACCCCTGTGTGTGGGTTCTGGCTGTGTAGTTGGGGGCCAGCTGAGCAGGGGAGGAGCTGAATGGACCCCTGCTTGGAGAGTACCAGCATAGCAGGGCTGGGCAGCCTGTCAGAAACCTGGGGACAAGGAGGAGGCAGCCCTATGACGGATGTGCAAGCAGAAAAGAGCTTCAGGCAGTAAGAACAGTGTGTGCAAAGGCCCTGGGGCCAGAAAGCTGGCTTGGGGAGGCTGAGAAATAGACAGGAGGGGAGCGAAGTGCACTTCCTATGGTCTTGGTGGGGGGCTGGGGGTCCTTGAGAACTTGGGGCTTCTGATGGGTGAATGGCTAGGGAGACATGCAGGACTCCTGACCTGCATAGCTCCCTGTCCTGAGAGAGCCCATGGCCAAGGCCTCAGAGGGGACACTGGCCATCCTGGGGTCACTGGCCAGTGGGGGGCATCAAGGGGTCCCTGAGAGCACCTCCCTGCCCTGGGTGTTAGAGGAAGGGGCGTTAGTGTGAAAGGCCTGGCTGAGGAGTGGCCCTGGGGGCCGGTTGTGGGAGGGGCTGGAGTGGGGTGGGGGTGGGGTACAGGCAGGCCAAGGCGGGGGCCTTGGTGCCAAGCCAGAGGCTGGACCTTCTGAGGAGCTGGGGCCTTCTGGGCTGTGGCTCGCCAGGCACGAGGCATGTATTGAGCACTTGCTGTGTGCGAGGCACAGCCCCAAGTGTTCACCTGGCACCTCCCCATGGCCTTCGGCTGAGGTGGGTGCTCCCGAGAAGCTTCCATCCTTGGATTAGCAGGCTCAGGTGGGAGGCCGGGCTGGCCAAGGGGGTCGGGGGGGCGCACCCATGGGTGAGCCTTGGCTCCAGAAGAGGGTCTCGGGAGGGTGGCCTCCTCCTCTGTCAAACCCTGGCGGGATCTCACATTGATCCTTCACGTCTGGTTTAGGGCTGGAGCGGCTGTCAGCAGTCCGGCTCTCCGTCACTCCTGGGGATTGGAAGTGGCAGTGGGCCCGGGAGGCAGAGCAGTTTATTAGGGGCGAAATTAGATTCCGGGTCCTAATGGACGAGGCGGGCAGGAGGCTCCTGGGGGCCGGGCGGCGAGTCTGGACTGGAGGGCCTGCTGTGGCCTCACGCTGGCTGATGCTTGCTCAGCCTGGGCCCCGCTGGGCTTCTGGGCCACCCAGCCCCCAGGGAGGCACAGACGTACTGTAGTTTCTGCAGGGGAGAGGGTGCTTAGGCTCTGCGCCAAGGGGCCGCAGCGAGCTGCTCCAGGGCCTCCATTCTCCCATCTGTAAGATGGGTGAGAGCATGTTCTGCCTTTAGTCATGCGCCTGGCACATAGTAGCCTTGCTGTGAATGAAGCCGGTGGGCGGGGTAGGGGGGGCTTGCTGTCAGAGACCCTTCCCCACCTTCCAGAGAGCAGCCGGTCAGGGCTGGGGGCAGTGGTGTGCCTTCTCCCATCCCTACTGTGAACTCTTAAATGTTTATTTCATTACATATGGAAATGAGATTAATAGCCCCAGCCATCCCCTGCCATAGTCTTTGGGGGCAGCGAAGGCGTCCAGGGTGTGGGCTCGGCCGCAGGGGCTTTTGTCCTGCCTCTGCTGAGCCCCCTCCCTGTTGACCCCAGGAACGAGGTGGCGGAGGCTCTGCCCTATTTTTCCGGAAAGTAAATATTCCGTGCTGTCAGATGGGGCGAGGGTGTGGGAGGGGAGACGGAAGCAGAGGAGTGTCTCCGTGGAGGTGGGGGCCGCCCCCCCTCAAGTGCAGGGGCAGGCAGAACACACACGTGCACACCCATGCACACCGGGCACACACCTGCTCGGTGCTCCCCACGACCGGCCGACCTGCGCGTCTCCACCGCCCTCCGTCCCTCGTCCCTCCCGTCAGCTCCTGTCTGCTCTGGGCCCGGCCCTGCGCCGGCGCCCCGTGCCTCAGAATCCCAGCACTCAGACTCCTGCCCGGCCTCTCTGCTCGGAGCTCAGGCTGTGGCTCAGGTCCCTCCTGACGTCTGGCTGAGGTCTCTCCTGCTGCTGGGTGAACACAGTCCGCTTGCCGTGGGCCCCGGGCGGCGCTGGCAGGCACCCAGGCTGGGTGCGCGTCAGACGAGGGGCTTGTCCCAGGCGGCGCTCCCTCTCCGGGTGGCCCCTTTCCTCACTGTTGAGGTGAGCGCCGGCTGAGGCCCTTCTCACCTCCCCCCCCACCTCGTGCCTCCCATCCTGGCCCCCCGAACCTGGGGCTGGCTGGCGACTGGCTGCTGGAGACACTTGTCTCCTTGGCAACCGCTGCTGGGGGGATTCACGGTGATGAGCCTTCTTGGGCTGTGGGCGAACCACCCCGTCCTGGCCCTGGGGATGCCTCCGTTCTTTCCCCGCATCCCGGACAGTCCCCAGGCTGAGAAGGCCCTGCAGAGAGCAGGCTCGGGGGAGCCTTGCAGCTAAGGAAGGGGGCTCCCAGCCTCGGGGCGGGTAGAGCTGCTCACCTGTCCCTGTCGGGTGGAAGCTGACCAGCATCCTGGGCCCGCAGAGCAAAGATTTCTATCTGAGTTTCTGCTCACGAGCGCATGGGGGGGTCCTCCGCGGCCTGGAGGGGTCAGCACTCTGAGCACATGGCGTACTTCGAGGGGACCCACGAGGGTGCTGGTGGTGGTCCCTGCATGCCACCTCTCCCCACACCTCCCCCAGGGGCCAGGAGTGGGAAGAAGCATCCCTTCCTGCCATAGTCGTCAGGAGCAGAGACTGAGGGAAAGGCCTGCGCGAGAGAAGGCAGAAAGAACATGGCCACTTTCAGATCCCTGAGCGTCAGCGGCAGGAAGCTGCAGGTCTGCCCAGGGCCCCACACCTGCAGCCAGGTGACCCCCACGGGCTTCGGTGATTCTCCCCTATTGCCCTGCAGGAGGGTGGCATCTGTGTCCAAGCTAGCCCTTCCCCCAGGCTCCCCAGGGCTGGACCCACTCAGGTGTCTGTGTCACCGAGGACACTGTGCTCGGGCCCCCTACTGGCTTCCCGAGCCTCAGTTTCCCCATGTCTAAGATGGGCATGAGTGTGGATGTCACCAGGGGGCTGGCGGGGGGCTGCGGTCCCCAAGGCGCCTGCAGACAGGAAGGTGCCTGGAAATAAACCTTCTCCGTTGTTCAGCTCCGTGCAGCTGGGGGTGGGGGACGTAATCGCCGTTTGGAGGCCTTCCTCTCTGGATCTGGGGGGACCTAGTCCTGGGCCTGGAGGTTCAGCTCAGTGGGCGGAGCCCTCTCTCCCTGGGGATCTGCTCGTCTTCGCTGCGGCCTCACGCCCTGCCTGCCCCCTTCCCCCGCCTCTTCCGGAGCGTGCACCCCCAGCCCGCCTGCCGTCTGTGGCTGTCTGTTCTAAAACCTCCAAAGCAGGGCATCTCGGGGTCGGCTCCGCTCACCTGGCCGAGCGGGAGCGTTCCCATTGTCCGGCTTTGGGCTTTTCTTCTCCGGAGTTGTTCTGTGGCTCTGGACCTCCCAGCCATGGCCTGCTGGGAAGGGCAGCCCATCCACAGAGCACAGCCAGGCCATTCCGGAATGTTCCAAGATGCCGGTCAGAGCCACCCACGGGAAGCAGGGCTGACAGGGCCTGGTCGCCTTGGGACTTGGGCTTTCTCTTTTTCACTTCGGGGGAACGTATTCTTACAGCGTGAGTCTGAGCGTGGAGTCCGACCTCCCCCTGCCCCATTCTCTCGTCTGGTCAGACTTGCCCTCTGCTGAGTCCCGGAACACGCGTCTTCCCTGTTTCTGGGCGCCCCCTTGTGCTCTTCCCTTGTCCCCTCTTGGCCCCACCCACTCCTCTTCACCTTCATGGACACCTCCTCAGGGAAGCCTGCCAGATTGCACGTCTCCCCTTGGCTCCCTGCATCTCTGCACTGAGCCAGGCTGGGTTGGGTGCCCTTCCTCCCGTGGGTGATACGTCCAACCCCTGCCATCACCCAGGACTCTAGGGTCCTGACCCAGAACCTGGAGCCTCTGCGTCCTCTGTGCCGGGCAGATCCACCCTGCATGTGTGCAACTTCCCCACTGACTGAGTTGAGAGAAAATACCACCAGGCAGAGAATTACAGATATATACATAAAGCACATGGGATATCTGGATGTTTTTTTCCAGGGCTCACTTAATTGAATAAATGGTCTAATGAAAGGAAATTAATTGTGGTTTTGAAATGTGACTGCTTCTTCGCTCACGTCCTGTCTGCGCGGCGGGCTCTGGCTTCTCCTTCTTTATCTGTCAGTGCCTCTCTGCGGGAGCTGGGTGTGCGCCGGGCCCCCTCCCCAGACGCGCTCCCAGGGAGGGTCTTCGGGGCGCACAGGGCAGGGCTGCCCGAGGTGCGCCAGGACCCGGCCGAGGCTCAGAGCTGCTCGTGCAGCCCGGCTGGTGCCCCAGCAGGACCCCAGCGGACCGGGTGGGGCTGGGCCTGCGTTAGCACCCGAGTGGCTGGGCTCCGGCCGGACCGTGCAGCAGCCGCCGCCTGCCACCTGGGAGCCTGGTGGTCTCCACTCCTGGGTGGCAATAACACCCAGGAGGGGGGTGGTGTGCGGGCCCCTCTCTAGCTCCCCACACCACGTGCTTCGTGCCCCTCAGGAGCCCTGGACCTGGCCCTTGGCCTCAGGCACTCTGCTCCCCGAGACCCCAGCCTCACACTGTCCCCCTCGGCCGGACCCCCTGGCTGCTGCGTCGGATGGGGCCTGGCATCTGCGTTAGCTGCACGGTGCCTCCTGGCTCCCCTTTTCGGGGACTGACGGGCCTTCTGTGCACCCACCGGGCAGGACCCAGATCTGGCGGCCAGGGCCCTGGGTGGGCATTCGTGAAGGACCGTGCTAATTGGAAGACAGGCCTGTTCTGTTCCTGAGCCTAGAAAGGGACGACTGTATGCAAGGAAGAGGACACAGACCTAATGAGGGACGTCCTCGGGGCAGCAGGCGTTCCCTCTCCGAGTTCTGGGGACCTTCCCAAAGCCCGAGGCTGCTGAGGCGGGTGTGGCGGGCGGGGTGGCATGCAGCCCTGGGGGGCGCTGCAAGCGTGGGTGCGGGGCTCGGCCCCCCTGTACCCCTCTGTGCCGCCGCTGACCGCCCTCTGCCTCGGCCCCAGGTTCCTGCTGGTCTTCTCCTGCCTCGTGCTGTCGGTCTTCTCCACCATCAAGGAGTACGAGAAGAGTTCGGAGGGAGCGCTCTACATCTTGGTGAGCCCCTGGTGGGACGCGCGGCCGCGGAGACGGTGGCCGGCGGCCTGTCCCCCAGCCCCTTGCTGAGGAGACTCTGACCCCCAGACCTGCTCCTGCATGAGCCTTGCCTCCCCTGCAGAGGCCCCCGTCCCCTCCCACCCGTGGCCCCTGCTCTCCCGGCTCCAGCCTGGTGGAGCCAGGCCCGTCCAGCCTCCCCTGCTGACATTAGCGAGCGACCTTGAAGTGTCCACTGGCCTGACGGTCACAGTGCCCCCACCTGCTTCTCCCCTAACACCCAGTCTGCCCTGCCGCCCCTCCCTGTGTCCCCGCAGCGTCTGACAGCCCACCCCAACCGCATCCCGTTCCCACCTGCTCACTAGAGCCTGAGGGCCCAGGAGGCCCCCTCCCTGGGAGGTGTGGGGAGGTGTGGGGTGTTCCCCGAGGACGTGGGCGCGGGGCGGGGGCTGAGAAGCTGACAGCAAATGACAGGCAGGGGCGGGCGCCATGGCAACCACAGTGTAATGTCTTTGTTGCTGTTGGTGACGGAGGGGCTGCAGGAGGAGGCCGATCCTGTGTAGAGGGAGCAGCAGAGCGCACTCCCCTGCCGGCCCTGCGCTCTGGCTTGGGGTGTTTGGGCCTCAGGGAGGTCACACCCCCTTGCAGTTACCTGGGATCCTTCCTCAGCTTTGACCTCTGTGCCCCCCCAGCTCACCCTGGACAGACCCCCCCACGCTAACACCTGCTCACGCTGGACGGACCCCCCCCACTAACACC